TTGGACTACGGTATGGCTTGTCGATGGACCATTCTTGCATGTTGAATTCCCATGTTGGAATACCTATGCACATATTCGTGGGTTCGCAGGTTATATTCGTCCGCGAATACGGGATCCATGTTTCTGACATTTCGATAGTGTCGAATGATTTTACGGGAATTTCATGAGGTGGTATTTTTCGACGATAAGTACGTAGGGAAGAAGGAGCTCCGCGTACGTGCGCGGGCGAAACTGCATATATCACGTCCCCATCAACGTTTCGGCATCGACATGGCTTTGATTGCCAATTGGTGAATGCAACATCATCATCAGCGTGTTTACCCCCTTTAAAGTTCAGTTGAGGGGCCACCAATTTTCAGCGCTTGCAACAAGTTCAGGATGTCTTTGTTCTCCAGCTTACCCCCTGCAGGGAAGCGCGATGGACAGGAAAAACGGGCGCCCCAGGCGATCCAGAAAGTGCCGCTGTTGGAGGAAACGACAGATGATGCTGCGCAAGCAAAAGGAGACGGTGGTGCAGCAGGTGCATGTCTTGTTTGCAGCTTTGTTCCTCTTCAGTGTCTTGGCCATGTCCTTGCTATATTCCTGATTCTTGCCGCTTTTCTTCCACAAAGGTATTTGTTGAAGGAGAAGAGAGCCTTGAATGGAACTTATCCGCTGACCTTCAGAACCCAGTCTTGATGAAAATTCAGGGTAAGTGTTCAACACGTAACCCTCGGAATGGAGCTGTTCTGATTTCAGAAACTTTTCAGCTCTTAAGGAACTCAGAAAAGATTCTAATCTTTTACCAGGGAGGGAGGGGGCCAGCCCTGACGCAGTGATCAGCGCCATGGCCAAAATTGCTGCGCACATTGACACCGCCAAAAAGTTCAGCAAGGCATCGAAGCTGGCGCTGCAGCTTCTGGAAGCAGGTAGTGTCAACAGGGGGAATGCGGGGCAGTTTTTTGAGATCCTGGAGCGGGCAATGGAGACGCCTGCCAACAGCAATGACCTGGCCCTCAGAGAAGACTACCGGGCGCTTTTCAGTGCAGCGGAGGAGAGGAAAAGCGTGAGTGGATAAGCTGATTCTGCGGAGTGGTGCACTATGCGCGTCCCTGGTGTTTGGACACCTTATCTTCAAAGTCAGAGGCCCCAGGAACAGGGCCTGGGGATTTGCAAGTGCTTTCCCTTTTGTCATGATTGCTGCCGCCTGCAAGCTCAATCCCTTTCATACCTCCTCCTCCAGTTGATAAGGCAAGCTTGACTGTGCTTGATGCCGGGAAGGACACTTCAGCTCGGGGGTTGCCCCTGTACTAATCGACATGGTGTGAATAATTGCGTGGTTTTTGTGTTGCATGATCTTTGCGACTTCAAGTGGCTGTTCTCAGCCAGAGGCACCTGTGGGCTTTGGGGCGCCTTCTTTTAGCAGCCATGAAAATCTTGTCTTGACTAGGTCGGTTGGAGCCTGGAGTAACGGCGTTCAAGTGTCCCGTGCAGATCTTCTCAGAGGCGCAGCAGGCAAGGCTGGAGGTGTGGCTCCTGCAGACGGTCCTGGCAAACGAGCTCCACACTGACGACACGTTTCAGGTGAGGCCAGGCGGGGAAATCCACAGAAGCAACCCCGCTGGTATGGAAGGTTCTGCTGTTCTCATGGTCACACCGCTTCTCAATTCTGCTCTTGTCAAGCGTTGATCTGGAGGAATGAAGTCTGGTAAGTGGTCAATGAGACATGCTAGAGCTGGGCCCTGGTTCGTTTGGCACCCCACCTTGGCTTTGCAGCCCTGTTCAGAAACTGAAAACGAATCTCTTCGACTCACTGATCTGGCAGGAGACACTTGCACCACTCTTTAAGACAGGTGCAACAAAGCCGGTTTTTGGCCTGCCGCTGGCAGCATATGCCCCCTCTTTCGACCTTTACAAGCATCCCGTTCGAGGTCTTCAACCTTGCTTTCGTGCTCACTGCTGGTTTTCCATGGGTACAGCCGACAAATCATTTCGAGACTGATACTTTATCATGCTCGACCCTGCAGTTTTCCCGTCTCGTAGGAAAGGTCAAGGAAATTCTCGAAGCTCTTCCTCAGTACGCTGAAGGCGACGAGCTTCCCGCTGGCCCCCCGCTTTTGGAGTACGGCCAGGCGCTACCAGAACCGTCCGCAGCACCTCTAGAAGGTTTCGGCCCCGGGCTTTTGAACTCAGAGCCTCGAGAAGCTCTTGATGAACCCGGGGTATCGAGAGGGGACTCGGAAGAAGGGGCGAAGAAGAAGAAGCGGAAAAAAGTTGAAAGCCCAGAAGATGATGACCCGTTCGGTTTAGAATCAATGCTTCCAGGGACAGCGGGGGTAGAGAGTGATCCTTTTGGTCTGGAGGATATGATTCCAAAGGAGGTGCGGCGAAAAGAAGAGAAGGCCAAACGGAAGCGAGAGGAAGAGGAACGATTTGCTCGGGAAGAGGCGGAGGGGAGGCGGCTGCTGGCGGGGCGCAGGGCGGCAGTGATGGCGTGCCTCAGAGCCGCGGAGTCCCAGTACAAGTACACATGGTACGCTTTCCGATCTTGCTCTTTGTGCCTTCTTTGAGACGTGCGAAGAACGAAAGAGATGGTTCCGGGCAAGCGCATGCACTCGTCTTTTCCAAGTCGACGTCTTTGTTGTTGAAAGGATTTGCAAGGTCTAGGTTGCGTTTTCCAGAAAGAGCGAACGACCTGGTGATTATCGGCTCTCGTCTCAGATGTTAAGCAAAGTGTCTGCCTAACTTTGTAGCGGGGGATACTTCATGATAAGGTTTGTTTTCCAACCAGTGTAGGCTCTCCAGGGACAGCAGGCATGGTAATGACATTTCTTTCACGAGATCTGATCGCGGGGCGGAGGTTTCAAAGGGATTAGATGTACTGTAGCGATAATTCTGAGAAGCAGGGTTTGACTCTGCAAAAGTTGACGAATACAAAGGCGTGCGATGTGGACGGTCGGAAGCGTTCTCAATGGAGACGCAGATTGGCCTTCGATGCTGTCTGCCTGCCCTTGACCTCGTAAAGCAGTTGCCCTTCTTACTCCCAGGTTTTGTTGAGATCAAGTGCGAGACGTCACTGATGTGTTGTCTAGCTGGGCAATTGATGGCTCCCGGACGCCAGATTCTACTCGTGTTTGAAGGCTTTCCTTAAAATTTGACCCGAAACATATAAGATTCCCAGTACTTTGTCAGGTATTAGATGGAGCAAGTCTTGAAGGAAAGGCGTAACTTGTGTTTCCAAGACGTGCACGTGCAAGGATCGCATACGTTCTTTCCGCTTGTGTTGCAGGGCTAAAACGACCGTTGAGATCCTGATCAAGCTGGCGTTTGACAACCTCGCCCGCTTCACACCTCCCCAACAAGCAGAGATTGAGTCGCTCTGGACGACCGTGCGGAATGAGCAGATTCGACGGAAGCAAGGCAAGGCAGGGACTCACAAGTTGGGAAAGCAGGAAGTGACTTCGTACGAGAGGGCAGCTTCCAAGTGGGCAGGCGAGAAAATAAGCATACGAAGCGCGGTGGGTGGAGAAGGTGATGGTTCAACCGTAACTTGGCTTGGATGAGAGTCTTTGAGGGCCATTTTATGTCAACAAGTGTCACGCTTCTGTGACCGCTCAACAAATGCTTAAGGAGCTAAAAGTATGAAGTCCTCATGCCAGTGCCTTGACTTTTGGGGTTCAATGCCAGCGACTGCCAGGCATTGAGCCGTCGCACACGCTCGATCCGTATGACACGACAAATTGCCGCAATTCCCTATGGCAACCGAGCAATGTACATGCTCCATGCTTGATCGAATGATGCCAGGACCTAGGCACATGGCATCTGTTGGAGCCTAGCCGCGCCACTGCCACCTCGGCATGATGCATAATGGCACACCTGCATGGTGCATCTTGTAATGAATATATCTCTCAGTGTGCGTATAAGTTCATTCTTAATTCGAATGGCCGCGGCGAAATTTAAACTTGTATATATATTGGCCGATCGATCACAGTGGTAGAACGGTGATTATCTATACTAGAACCATTGAAAATATGCAATGAACATATATATAGGTACACACGTACTTTAACATGCATTAATTTCATATCGCGCAACTAACATACATTTGGCATTCGACGAGATTGTGAAGGCAACTTCACCGGTAGCTTCAGAAGGACATGCACGGCCGGCCGACGTCGACCACGCACCGTCAGAACATGTAACAACGTTTCAAATTTATGGTCATTCTTGTCTCATCATAGTATGGAATCTTTACAACACGATACCGTTGCAAACCTTATGTACATATCCGACCATTTAATGGATGAGGTACGATATTAGAGTCTCATTTGGCAAAGTGGCCCGATCCCCGAAAACGAAGAAGCTGTGACTCGTTTACAAGACAATTGTCATTTTACATGATCTGCTCCGACTATCTATCTATTCCCCAACCTGTCTAATCCCAAGATGGCCGTAAGTATGTACGTTCAGTTTTTTCCAGAGGCACAGAAAGTAAAGATACAACCAGTAACACCAGAAGATTGGACCCAGTCTACGAAGCTTTGCAGCATGATCGAACATATTAACAAGCAACCATGTATATTTGAAGCCCCAGCTCTGCAGATCTTTTGATCGCCTCTTGCTGACACAAAGCATGCAGCACTCACTACTCGGTTCCTACCGGACCAGCTCAAATCTGATGTACCCCAAGACTCCCCAAGTTGCATCACTCCACATATACACCACACCACATATACACACTAAACCACACGCGTCGTGCGCACCACACACCCAAGTACCTTTCCGGGTACTGGCTCGTGCCCCCACGCAAGCCCTGTGGTTTGTTTCCGTGAGTACCTTCACGAGCAGTGTTCATTGCCCAAGCAAGAGTCTGACACCAGTGGTATTGGGCCAGATACTTGACGTGATACGTATATCCATAACGTATTGGAATGTCACCAAAGGTACCTATACTGTTACAGCCCCTGACGACCCAATCATCTTGCATAGCTTCTGAAAAAAGATTGGAAGGGGAAATTGGGAAAGGCAAGACATCCTGCGCCACATTCGAACCCCCTCATGTATACATCATGAGTTTCACGTTTCCAGAAAAGAAGGCCAAGATCAAGGCCCCGACCGTTGGTTGAAGCAGGCTTACCTTCACAGCAACATTTCACATGATTCCCCACTGGATTCGTCCGAGTCCCAGTTGGAGCTGGACTCTTGCGACAGGGCGGGTGCGTAGCTTGGATCCACTCCTTCATCATCCGACTGCAGGGAACGACATTTGCAGGAATGAGCAGAAAACAGCGCGGTCAAATAGATTGGATAAGGGCTTCAAATGAGAACAGCAGATATGACCGCTGCTGCTTCGCATACTTCTGGGAAAAGGGTGGTGCCCATCAAGTGTTACCAGAATCTGAGTGCAAGTTCAAGCACGGTTGTGTTGTTAGACAGATAGCCACGAGCGTAACAGCGTCATCATATCAGAGGAAAGATGTTCTACAGTCCTCCCTATCAACCACACCCCAGGCTTCAAAATTCTATGTATGCGGAGCAAACAGGTTTCCATTCCCTTGTGCTTTTTCCAAACACGCTTGACTGCAGAAACACAGAACTTACATCAAAGACTGGCACACGTGGGCCCCTGTCCGATGCGGCTGGTCGAGCAGGCACACCGTGCTTCCCCTCCAGGCGCCTCTGCGCGTACTCCTGTATTTGCGCATGTCTGAGGTGACACTGGGGGCACCCATCTGCAGGATGAGAACGAGAATGGCCTCGTGAGTTTGCAACTTGCAAAATTTGACAATGCAACCGGAGTACAAAGGCTGGAATCGTGCAAATATGGGGTTATCATATCAATTATCTTGAGAAACATCAATGGTGTACAGACAACAACCATGTTTTCAGGTTCACACACCATTGGAACATGCGAGATATTTGCAAAAACTTGTTGGATAGCTGATGGGTTTGTACGCCAGTGGAGCCTTGATACACGTCACATCAACTTCCACATTAGGCCAGAACGGTGGCCCGTCACCTAAGTCCCTTGCCTACTTCGACGTTTGGGTTTTGCCACAGACCAGACAGTGTTTGGCCGGATCAAAAGGTGGCCCAGTGCTCCAGCAAAGAGGTTACTTACCAGGAACGTTGAAGTCTTTGCAGAGACCCGCTCTTGCCAGGAGTTTGTTCAGCCCCCATGAGACAGACAGCGTCATGACCACACTGAGAAGAGCAACGGACCAAGGCGTCTCACTGAGGTAGTCGACCGAGAGTCTGTACAGCGCTCTAGCGCGACTGCCTACGTCTAGCTGAGTTGGATGCTTCTGACTGTAATGACTCTCTTCCCTTGTTGCCACTGACGTGCTCTCTGAGTGGCCGGGTGAGGAATCTTCTGACTGGCAGGAGTCATCGACAATATTATTTGACGATAGACCGTCGAGAGCAGGGTTGCGGCGCGCCACAGAAGAAGTCTCTGCAAGGGACTTGTCAGTGTGCTTTAAGGGGGAAAAGTGCTGAAAGAAAACAGCTCGAGGGGACTTGTACCTCAGGACTCTAGCAGATGGCTCAGTATTGTTATTCTCGAGCTCTTTGCTGGCGTTGCCTGCTGCAGATTGATGACCTGCAATGCTGACATCAGCTTGGTTTCCTGCTGCGGTCGATGCTGTCTCTTCTGGGAAGAGCAGTTTGTCCAAAATGGACAAGTCCGTGCATTGGCAATCAGGGGACCCTCCATTCTGCCCTTTCACCTTGGGAGAACAAATGCAGACTTGGTGCGAACCGACGCCCTCTCTGGCAGCGGGGTTTTCAAGGCCATTCAACGGGACAGCCACCTCAGCGCTGTGCGCACAGATGACAGCGCACCCAGACAAGGCAAGAATGCCGAGAACCAAGAGCAAAGAGGCCTTTTGAACGGAGGTCAGAGCAGCCATTCTTCCTGAAAGCTCAAAGAAGAGATGGAAACCCTCAACGGGAGACGCCCAGCTCAATTCCAAATTGCATTGGACTGCGAGTACTTTGAGTGAAAGAGGAAGACAGCCATTCGATCAGTTATGGGTGCCCGCGGGTACGCCCGCAAGTTTCAACCGGGCGGCCGCGACTCGCGTGCAGTAAAGCGCGTAGGCGGCCGCGTAAGACCGTGCCGCCGCCGCCGCGCCAACCTGCTGTAGCTCAGTACTGCATGGCAGGTATTCGAGACACACAAGCAGCATCAAGTCAACTAATCTGCATGGGTAGATCTTGGTTCGGTTGGATTTTCGTGGGGTCATGCAGTCGTTCTATTAGCATGAGCCCGATTCGTGCCGAAGACCGTGACCGCGCTCCATAGCTCCCGCTACAAACGTGGCCAAGGGCTTTATAGAGGAGGAGCTAGTCTCATGCACAAGTTCATCAGTGACGCGTACTACGTGGCGCAACATGCAACCGGCACGCAGGGTATGGGGCCTGCTATATCTACTTTGAAGCCCATGATCGGATCAAACAGAAAACAGACATGATCGGGTAATTAGGTGAGGCCCCGCTGCTGCATGCGCTGGTTTCAATGCCCTCCGCGGCCCATTTCAAGCTCCTGCACAGATCTTGTTAAGCAAGATCGAATGAACGAATCGACAATGCGCGATATTGCATGAACGTATTGATCGAGCATGCACAGTGGCATGACTCGAGTCGATCCAACTTAAGATCATATTGAGCCTACGCCAGTGCAGATCTGCATATTATGTTATGCACTGTCATGCAGGCTATACAGTGCATACATCCGATCCTAGTCGAATTCTGTCAATTTGTCGGTGCGTGTCGGACCAAACGAACGGCTGCGCCCGCGCGACGGCCGGCAAATCAATCAGATCGGTTTCACCAATGCCGGGTCAGGCCAGCCGGGTAGAATCCAGTCCAGTAGGACTGATTGAGGATTCTTCAAACGAATGAACGGTGCACTTTTATCTGTGTCGGAACTTCACTGAATGATGGATACGTTTCCTCAATGCGTACGCAATATGCACACTCGTGCACAGTGGATGGCACGAGAAACCCATTAAAGAAGACGGCTTACCCCTCCGACGGTGCCAAAGAGTATATAGATTTGGAATGCGGATGTTTCTGTACGAGATGCACCGGGGGGCATATGATGACGGTGGGCTCTTGCTGACGGTTCCACACCTTGTTTAACCACATTGGTTGACCAGCAAAATGGCCTAATGGTGGCCAAACGTCTCGCAACACATTTGAGAATTGCCACGACAATTGTAAAGCAATGCCCAGAGTATTTATTGCCGCATGCAGCTGGACTATTGTCAGAAAGTACTAAGACAAATTACTAATTACCGAATGCAGGGCGGCAGTTTCTTCATACATTGCTGCTTGTGTGCGGACTAGCGTGCGAGACGCTCATCTGAGCGGCTCCCCTGTGCGAGGAACTCAACGCGTACGACCGCGAGACGGACGAAGACAAGGGGGAGAAGGAAGCCAAGCTCATGGAACTCTGCGGGGCAACAGGAAAGCCAGGATCAGTTACCCCCAAAGTTATCAAATCTTAAGCCGCACGCCACTTGCCCGAGCTGAGTTTCCGAGTCAACGTCGTTAAGGGTAGGGAGTCATCTTAGAGCTGCATTAGATATTACGGGCCGGAAAACGTGACACTCGTACTAGTCACAAGGCATGACAACTGGTACGGCAGATCAGACAAACGATGCCCGACCTCAACAGCGTCTTACTTCGATGTTGAACGCTGCGTGGATGAGGTCAGCAATGACGTACCTTGTAAAACGATGTTCCAGGCGACATCGCAATCGGCTCTGCGCGTGCAGCACTTGGCCGTTGCCCTGCAGTTCCGCCAACAGACAAACAAGGACGTCGTGAGAAGTTTCATCAACGGAGTGAGCTGCAAAACGTATATAGCGTACACTGTCGAACACAATAACCGAAGTGTTAAAAAGCTGAAACAAAGCGGATCGAACGTACTGATGCGAAGAGAGTGATAAAGCTATTCTGTCGGCCCACAGCCTCTTCAAGGATAGGTTATGTTAGAATGCAAATGGACACGCCTACTCGCGCGTAGTACGCCGCCAATTAAACAAGCGCAGCGGCAGAGCATATCAAAGCATTGGACACGAAAAAGGCGGCTATTTGTTAAGCATGATCACAGCCAGTTTACTACCAACCGACCGACCAACTGATCGACCGGCTAAGCACAGGTCCGGCACCAGCTTCCACGCGCGCACTCACTCGCGGTGGACGGCGCCTTGGGCACGGGCCTGATGACGTCAGCGGGCTGCTCCGGCTCCGCCACGACCGCGGGCGCTTCCTCCGGCGGGTGTGCCGTCATGTCCTCGTCGTCGCCCCGGGAGTAGATGAGCGTGCCGGACACCAGCACCACGAAGCCGCCCGCCTGGATCCATGACGTGGCGCCCCACGATTCGCCGAGGCCCTTGAGCCCCAAAGGGCCGTAAAACAGAAACAGGTCCACCTGCGAGGTTCCGGGGTTTACTTTAGAGTTAGACGGAAGGGCTCAACAAAGTTTCTGATTGTGAGTAAAACGAATCGACAAAGCGGCTTTAAAGAGGGCGTCCTGTGACCCGTAACGCCTGACGTCAGCCGCGTACGGTGGTTTTCAATTGCACGGCGATCCTGCCCGCGTGACGTCGAAATCGAAAACCGGTGTGAGATCGGTCTGCGGGGCGTGCGGAAAAAGGAAGAAAGTCGGTTCGAGCGAGGTTCGATCGCTCGGTTTCACGGTAAAAGTCGAGCACCTTGCCAAATATGCCAGAAAGTTTTACGCGTCCAAGTCGGACCGAAGCTCCACCGTCCGGGACGGTATATATAGACTGACGCCCTCTTTAAAGGAGACAAGTAATCCGGGACCGAAGCCAGGGGCGCTGGTGGGTGGATAATGTGGCGACAATTCAGGGCGAATCCCTGGGCTGGAAGTTGATTAACCACATCAGCGATCGAGCAGGCCCCCAAAAACCCCACACGTTGTGACGTCCTCCCTTTCAAGCAAATTCCCGGTTTCGGTCCCGACATTCTGACAACCTTGAATGTTGCTCTGCCAATTGCAATGGTTCAACGACTCCTCTGTTAACCGCTTCGTCAGAGTGGATGAAGCGTCAAGCCAATACTCAGAGATGACGCGTCAGTCGCCACGTGTCGGTGTGCCCAAGCGCGAGAACAGCGTTCATTACTCACCAGCCACACGAATAGGGTGCGCATCGTTTCTAGAACCGTCCGGAACACCGCTCCAAGATGCCCTGCGGTAATGACGTCATGTAAGATACTCCTCGGAAAACCGCGTCTGCAACTCGAGAATGTACAAAACCAATGTTTTCAATGTTTTCGATCTGGGCCCCCCTTTCCCAGCCCACCTCCATACGCCAAGTCACGACAATGGGACCTTTATTCCCTGTTGTGGCCTTCCGCGCTGGAAAGGGAGACCTTTGTGGAGCAGAAGACTGATTAAGTACTGCTTGGAACGACTCGATGAAACTGGGCTGTTTGAAGAGCCCTGGGCACGCGGCACCCAGAGGCGCGCGCGCACCTGTGACGCACATGCCGGAGAAGTTGTACATGAGCAGCGCAAACATGTCGAAGAGCAGCACGCCGCCGATGACGGGCGAGTGCCGGATCATCTGCAGCCAAGAACGGGGTGACGTCATTCGAGGTGAAGAGAGACGGGATGATGTTACTCAGGAGGACAGCGCCGGCAGGAGTCGGTGGGAAGTTACCAGAATGGCTGCACGACTTGCGGCTTGAAGGAGAAGAGTGTCCGCAGGCAGAACGTGAGTCGCTCTTGCCGGCCCTAAAAGCGAAGAGTGGAGGGCTCTACGTGACGAAGTTCCAAATTGAGGGGGTGCGCCGCAAAACACCGAAGGCAAGGCAGGACGGAAAGGTCGTTCGACCTTGGATTACAACGCCGACGAGATCAGCAAAAGGCGTCTGATAAGCTGTCAGATCGTTTTCTCCGTTTGCGACCGATCAGGGCAAGGGACGCTCTCCTTGGCAAAGTTTCAAGCATCGCTTTTCCGATGTGGTGGGAAGCAACGCCAAAAACTTCCTGCCACTTTCTGCTCTCTTCGAACGTACACCACAACTTGTACACTCATCACTTCGTTTTCCAAGTGCAGCGCTGGCAGCAAAAGAGAAGATAAGTGCGCAGGAGTAACGGAAGAACGAGCGGGAATAACATCAAGACAAAGTGAGAAAGAAGGAGAGTCCAAGAAAGAACGCGGGATTAGGGACACTGCAGGGCGGGCCCACGTAGAGCGTGTCGAGGGTGTTCTCGTGCAGGCCATGCCCCTCGGCGCCCGGCAGAAAGTAGACGATGGGAAGGATGACAAAGAGCATAGTCACGCTGCCCCACAGGCCCTGCAACACAACACGTCAGCAGCGCGTCAGCGGAGTGGTTGTGCCCCAAGGAGGGACACGGGTCAAGTATGAAAGACCGGCTATTTGCGAGAAGGAAGTTGACAGGGTGTTCATTTGGACAGTATGCCAAACTTCGGGTACCTGGTTCGACCTTGATCTGGGCCAATTGGAGAACCTGAGGAGGCCACTGCCTGCACCTTCGTTACTTAGGGCCAAAACTGCGGTCCATTCAATCGCATTTGAGTCTCCGCTGTGGAACGTTTCTCTAATCTGATGGCGCCACTGCGCCGAGAACCATTGTTCGAGCGCCGAATCGTGAGGTGTCACAAGCATCCACGACAACCGCTCTCGCGGGCCGGGAAGCGACAGCTTGTTTTTAGAGAAGCGTGAGACAGGTCAACAAAGACCACGTACTTCGACCAATTGAACGGCATTGCAAGTCAAGCCGGAAATCGACTTGAGTCGGAATTGGCAGCCCACTAGCCAACGAAAAAATGATGACACCCTACGTTCTCCGGTTTAGAGCGGCCCACCTCAAATCCGACGATCTTGAGGGGCGCAATATTGAGGTCCGCCATGAAGAAGTCCTCGTACGTGATCTGCGCCGCCTGGACCGACTGCGACGCGACGATGAGGCCCATCCCCAGCAGCATCTGCGCGGGCGTCACCGGGTGCGTCGCGCTGCCCTCGCCGCTCATCAAGCTCGCAACGCCCACCAACGAGATGCCCACCTGCGGAAAAGTGAGACTCCTCTCTGAAACGTCTGCCATGTCGCCGGGCCTGACTTAGAGCAATAAACGGGTCGGAATTCCGCGGCCGACTACTCGGAAAGCTAAGGGGACCATGTATCCGACAGAACCCATTGGGCGGCTGGTCCAAGGGTTAGAGTGCTCTGACCTTTACGAAAGTCTGGATGCGCAGCAATGGGATGCCTTGTTGGCTGCTGGATGACCCTTTCTACTGTGGATTTGAAGTTGAGAGGTTGGACGAGGATTGCGGGAAGAAACGCAACCGAACCGGCACGCCGTGACCGTCAGCCAACGATCGGTGACACGGTGCGGATCCCAATCGCAAACCGAGACCCAAAAAAGCTGAACACTGGATAACTTACAAGGGGGAGTGCGAATGGCCGGCTTGCTTTTGTACTTGATGGGAGGCAGCTCCAAAAGGACTTGCTGATTCGAGTAGCGAAACCCGACTGGCTAGTCCTTACGCATATTGCTGATAGGAATGGCTCTAAAAGTTTGCAACTGAATGATACCGAGGAGGAAGGCAAAAGCCCAGCAAGTTGCACTCGAGACCCACGTCAGCAAACGTCGAGAGGGTTTATTGCACGGGTGACGCCAGATCATCCTCAATGATAAGAACCCGTCGATGAACTTCACATCGTTGGCTATTCGAAAAGAATCCGACAAAACTTTCGCCTACGTTCGAATCGTTGTGAAATCGGACGGCAATGATGTCCGTGATTTTGTCCACGGGTTAGCAAGCTTCCAAGTAACTCCGGGCTGTTGCCAAGGACACAAAGCAAGCACAGACGGAAGCCGATGGGCTTACCAAACAACACGCGATGCCCCCGTAGTGGAAGCGGTTAAGTTTCCGCCCCAGGAAGACGACGGCAAAGAGCGCGGCAAACAGCATCTCCGCCCCACGCAGCATCTGGTACACGGAGGCAGTCACCGATACCAGGCCGACGTTCATCAGGATGGTGGCAACGAGATCGAAGAACGTCGGGATGCCCAGCATGAACACCTCGCGCCATGTGCCGGAGTGCTCATGCGCCTGCGAGGGGGAAGAAGCTTGGAGTTTCGAAGATTAGCAGACTGATCCAATTACAAGATGAACGGACGAATGAAGGCGCTGTCGTGGTCTCCCCAAGCTGTGAGGTGATGCGCAACATTGCTATCGAAATTCAAGTGAAGGGGAACGGGTGTGGGTCAAGGACGCAAGTGGAAGTGTGCGAATATCGGAAGTCAGCCTTATAGCATTTAAAGTGATTGGTCGGCTCAGACCGTCTCCTGAAGGCGAAGTATCGGAGAAGCACCCAACTGGATTGGATGATATGGACGGAATCCGAGAGTAACAAGCACAGGGGAAAACGTTTTGCGGCAACCAGGCTTACAAGATATTGTCAGTCAAAGTGGGGGGGAAGTATTTGAGGGACAGGCCTCGCCAAAGTTTTGGAACCATTTGTGACGCCGAGAGATGGTCCACACAGAATATTGCTACAGTAGGCTGCTCTACTTGGTCGCCTGAACGCTGGGCTAGGAGACGTCTGCCGTCATCTCGTTAACTTGACACTATAGAGACAAGGTCGTTGACTGCCTGGGTGTGTAACGTCACCTTTTCCAGGAGAGGGGTGGCCCCCTCCGCTTTGGCCTTTTTCTCCTCCGCCCACTGCTCCATGTAGGCCAGCGGCAGGCTCAGGCTCATGCCCAGGAACATGACCGTCACCATCGTCCATGGCTTCACAAAGTACTTGGCCTCACCACCGGAGCCCTCGCCTCGCAGCTCGTACACTGCAACCAACAAAACGGGTCTGGTCTGCTCGATCATCAAGTTGAGGGCGGCTGTTTGTTTGGGGAAGTGACACGAAGGAAGTTTACCTGTGATTGATTTTGCAGACTAAACGATGCGAGTGTGGTGCCCCCAAGAAGAGAATTCAAGGCACACATCGTGAGTCCCGGATCAGGAACTTGCTCTAATCTGCTGATGGAAGGAGCCCCTACGCTGGTTGCAAAGCGGTAGACATTTCACTGAGGTCACTTCAATAATCCCTGTAATCTCGACAATATGGAACTCACCTGTTATATGTATGTTACAAAACAAGGAGAAGTCTGCCAATTACCAGGCCCGGTGAAAAATAGCGGTGAGACAGTGAACACGCCATCTTTCAAACAACATGAAAGTCTACTCAAGTGGAGTGGTTCTGTTAGTAGTGATTTCTGCTAAGCTGAATTCGAGCTGGTGAGAAGCAATCCGTTTGAGCTCACGCAAACACTGAGAACTTGGACAACCAAGACTTACCCAGGCATAAGAGGGGTTAGAGGTTTTGAAGCCCAGAAAATATTTCCGTAGATCTCCATAATCTCCACAGGACAGATAATGTGGCTCTTTAAGCAAGAATCTTGACAAGATCAATCACAATGTGTAGTCTGCTGAAACGTGATACCATTTGATGGCGCCCATCAATCCGTCAACCCATCTTAGTTAGCATCCTGCTTCATCACTTTGGACCTCAATCATATGCTCTCCTCAGATGCGACGCAAATGACTGAGCTTTGAAAGTTTCAATGAGCTACCCAGCATGAGGCGAATTAAGAAGCGACTGCTGGGATCAGACAGCCTATGCAACCAAGACCACCAGCTGCTGGTTCCTAAGTACAATGCTGCTAGCAATACCAAGGGACATACTGGGGTCTGAAGATATTTGCAGATTGCAATCACATATTAGGAGAGGAGAGAACAAAAAGGGGAAAAGCCTCTGGTTGCTGGCAAAGTCACGGATCTAGAGCAGGCATTGCTGCCTGGTGCTGTGCGCATGCATGTCGAGTACTCATGACATTCAATCAAGTATAACAACAAACGACCACTCTGGCAAGCTTTCCGGTTTTTCGAGCTACACAGCTGATGTTCTGCGACAAACACTTCTGCAGCGCAGACAATTGGGCAGACCCTCACCAATCTTAGCAAGAAGCGAAGTCGTGGTCCCAAATACGAGGAGGCCCGTAATGCTGGCTGCAGATCCCACGGAAGGCGCCATTAGGAAGGGGCTAGGGGGGGCGCGCCTTCACGCTAGTGCTTCGAGTTTCAGGAACTACTGAGTACACTTCGATTACCACCATTCAGCACTTCAAGCTGTCAAAAGTCCAACACACATTTTGTCATTGCTGAACACCATGATCTGTTTTAGGGTTTCAATTGTCGGCGTGGGGTTAGGGTTTGAGAGTATCCGACAACGGGCCGGTAACGGTGCTGTTCCAATGGTCGGGGGCCACTGCTCGCCGCGTCCACCAGTCGAGACCGGTCGGCATACGCTTGCGCCGACTGGGGCTCTATGGAGAAACGGCAGAACAGCCGTTCGCAGCGACGGCTCAGCATGATGGCTCATGTGAATCTTCCCATGTAGCAGGAATCGCCGAGTCCTCCGGATCTGACATGCCCAGTTCCGAGTGGCGAACTCGTTGGGCAGCGCCGCACATCATGCAGCTCTCAGAGTCAAAGTCACAGTGCTCATGCCAATGCCAATGGAGTGTTCGTCGCCCAGTCACGACTCCTTGAAGCTGGATCAACACTCCAGCCTGTACTGATCAGCGTTTAATGCAGGTATCCTGACTCCTTTGTAGGAAGAGGCGAACCGAAGGACTAGAGCGCTCAGCTGCATCAAAACCGTGCTCGAGCCATCATCCAGCTTCTCTCCTCCTCTGCATGCTCTGAAAGATCCGATCAGACATCGTATTGGTCCTGCTGCAGCTTGCGAAAGAGATCCAGCTGTCAGAAGTAGAAAGTTGCAGTGCTCTTTGATCTGACAAGGCAGCATTGCCTCGAGACATTGACCTCAGCTACCTTGAAGCGTTGTAAGGGGCGATTTGACAGCCTTCTTTTCCATGAAGTAGAGCAACACGAAGTGTGAAGTGTGATCCCCCCACTTTGGATTGTCTGGTTCTTGGAAGGCACACCGTCCGCCATGTCGCGCTTTGTGCTCCAGGCAATGAGCAAGGCCCCCACGCCCACGCCGGGGGGGACCCAAAAACAAAATGGCACCAGCTCGCCGGAGGGTACTCAACCAAAGCCCAGTCCGAAGCCCACTTCTGCGCTAACCAGCGCGCTCTCACAGCAGAAGAATGCAGAGGCGGAAGTGGGCAGCGGACGACTGGAGACCATTCTGTCAGAACCGTCTAGCAGCCCATCGTCGGAGTCAGCAATCTCAAGTCTTCAAGAAGCGGTGGGGTACTTGCCATTGCCCTTCAGTTGTTTTAGAGGTTTATGTGGTTTGCAAGGAATTGGTCTACAGGTTTGGTGAACAGACATCAGGGGGACCGAAGGTCTGGGGAAGGTTTGTCTTTCTGTCAACCTTGGCACAAGTTTTCAATCAGGCAGTTTTGGCAGACATTATACCAAGCCAACAGCAGCTGATGTTGAGTCAAGTGAAACGGGTGGCAACATTGCCCGACGTCAGCATATATCTTGATTTGTGGTCTAGTGGGCTCCACCCACTCAATTTGACCCACTCTATTCACCCCCTGTGATCTATCTTCTGGGCATCAAAGCCATAAAACCTCAATCTAAAAGTGGATTTCAGAATTGCACACCTGTACGGTAGATAGAATTCACGCGTTACTTAGATTCCTTTGGTGGTCATGACGCGATCAAATGTTCTCAGTGCTTAAAATGCTTTTAGCACCTTTGTGATGTTGCCAGTTGTCTGGTCTATCCCTCACCTCCCTTCAGGGTGTACCTCCATTGCCAACGTTGACTATATCATAGTACAAAAATGATTCAAACCGCACTTATGATCTTGTTTGTCTTTCCATGTTGCAGCAACTCTGCCCACCAGACGCCTTCCCCTGCCTCTACTTCCGCGAGTTGACCGGAGGTGAGCCCACCACCCTTGGCAAAGTACAGCATTGCCTTTATTTGGCTATATTCAGTAGCAAGAGACAGTGAGACAGGGTGGTGTGAAAACCGTTTGGTCAAATGATTGCTTAGAATGATGAACGAGCGTGAAAGCGTGAAAGCGTAGAAGCAAGGCATCTGTTCTCTCTTGTGATTCCCCTAGTGTATGCTTGTTACCGTCCCCCTTCAGAATCCCTCAGTGAAGCAGCGCCGCTTGACCATCTCCATGTTGTCGATACGTTCTGTCCGATAATGTGCGCTCTTGGCCAGCTGTTTCAGGAAAAGGGCAAGACAGAAAGTTCAAGATGAACATTCTTGGTGCAGCTGTGGACGTTTCCATGTTTGAGGAGGACAGCGCGGCCGTCTCTCTGCGCGTGGGCACGCCCATCAACGAGTGGAGCCTCGGGCGGAGCGCCGGCTCCAGCCTCAGCCGCAGCCTGGGGGGGAGCTTCCTGGGGCGGGACGACACGGGAACGCCGGTGGTGAGCCCCAGAGCCTAACATTTCAGCCCTTGCAGTAGTGAGCCTCTAATGCTGGGGCGCAGGTGCCTTCTTGAGGTGGTGGCGCCGACCATATTCCGGGTAATAAAAAAACCGTGCAATGCTGGCTTAGCTAGCAGCATGGAAATGAGCTATTTAGGAAACTGGGTTATGATCGGTGAGAAGAGTGAGCTTGCGTCATTTCACAACATTCAGACAGCGGTCCTATTTCACATTGAAATGAACGTTTGCAATGGGCAAAGCCACTGCCAGAAAATGGGGATGTCGCCACTATTTGGGACTGATGTTGAGGATTTGTGATTTCTACCAAGCTTTGCCACGATATTCTTAGAGCTGAAACCTCCTTTCGATCGATTACCAGTCCCTTGGTTTCAACACCCTCGATTCTCCTGACAAAGCCACGTTTGAAGCTTTTCACACCATGCATCTGGAGCAACACCTGATCCAAGGCTTTGATAAGTGCTCCTCTACAATTATACAGGCTGAAGATTTGCAGTCATGTATTTGCAACAGTGTCTCTTCTACTGGCAGGAAGATCCCCCTTTCTCACTGGAAAGCCCCTGATTGCAGTGACTGTAAAAATACTTTTTGACTCTTCTAAATGCTGTTGATTGAAGAGTGTTTCCCAAGTTTGCCATTTCAGAGTGCTGGTCGAAGGTGTGAAGCACTCCACTGCGTTTAAGCACGGTACTTTACTGCTTGTAAGTCTCTATCTCTACTACAACAGACACAAGCCCAGTCCTCCAAAGTAGGCCGTGAAATCTCACTGTAGAGCCGACAAAAGTGAGACACAACCGATACGGATCCGACAACGTCCGTTGTTCCTGGTATTTGCACCTCTGCTTCGGCATGTTGCAGCCACGTTCCCCTCCAAACCCTCACTCGCTGATGGGCTTGCCACCGTCAGATCTGTGCGCCCTGTGCTATTTTGATTGTTGTCGTTTTCCGCAGGCGGACTACGAGGAGAACCCATTTAGCCGGCGGGCGGCCGAGTTTGTGCCCTCCCCCAACTTGAACAATGCGCGGTGGAACGCACTTGGGTCCCCGTCCATCGAAGCTAATTACCTGACAGAGGCAGTGGTCGGGTCGCTGCCCAAAGCGATGACACCCTCAGAGCGCACGCGCATGAGCAGCAGGCTCGGCGCGTCGCCCTCACTCAAAGACGTCAAAGACATACCCGAGGTGAGACCGCCAAGAGGGGCGAGGAACAAAAGCAGTAAGCACTTTGTTGGGTCTGGGAATGTTCGTTGGAGAAAGAGCACTTTTCTTTAAAAAGGGCATTCCATTGATCAAAAAGGCTCCAGAAGTCGCAAACGTGGCGAGAGGGGAGCCGACAAACTCTTGACTGTCAGGTTTTTGGAAGTATGCCGTGTACCCTGTGTACTGGGGCTTCAAAGAATAAAGCGATCGGACCTGAAGGGAAGGTCCCATTGTTAAGGTCCCATCGTAACGTTGTGTTTCGACAGTTAATTGACGGGGTCAGGTTGGGGGATACAACAAGTTTCAGGAATAGCGGGTCATCCGGCCGCTGGGAATGAAGGGAGTCTGACATTACGTTTGTGGGGGTCACACGCCTCTTACGGGATAGGGCTAGCCGGCTTTTTCCGTGAGTGTTTTTGGGTTTGTGCTCACAGCGGCTACAAAAGAGACGCAGCTGGTTCGAAATCGGAAAGGAATAAGGTCGTTTACATGCTTGCAGGAGCGAATCTCTGCCCGCACCGTGGAAGGCCGCGCATTGCGGCGGCGTCTCCTCAAGGGAAAAGTGATGATCTTCATCACGGCCGGGTACTCCGGGAAGCGCTTCATCTACGAGCGGATCAAGGAGCTGGGCGTGCGCAGCGTGATGATCGACGGGCCCGAGAGCTGGAGCCGCATTCTAGAGGACGAGGGCGTGCTGGAAAAGTTCGTGCCCTTCGACTGGTCCGACAACGACACCGTCTTCGACCGCTGCCTCGAAGCGTGCAAGCGAGTGGAGCAGGTCAGGATGCGGAGCTTTGAACTTTCAAACTCGTGGGCTCCAAGCTTCTAACGTTGGGGGTCCCAGTCTCAGACACCGGGCTTAGGAGGCCTGCTGAACTGGAGCTATTGGATGTTGTACTGAAGCTGGCGATTCGCACCAGTTTTGTTGGTCGATCAAGGCGCAGGCAGAGGAACTCGTCAATGTTTTGTAACGGAAAACCTCACCTGAAAGCAGTGGCCGACGTTCGTACAAGCCGCAGTGTGTTCAGCGTTACGCTCGAAAACGCAAGTCTTTTCTCCGAGTCTTCCCTCTTTGAACGATGAAGACTATCCGATCCCCAAGGCTAAAAATCGTCGCTTTTGAACCCCACCTGACCCTTCCAAACCGGCCGTATTCGTAAGGTCGTAAGCTATTTGCCCAAAATGCTACAGTATCCAGACTCCCGCTAGCGCTGACTTTGCTCCTGCGCGCTTCCTCCGCCTTGCAGGAGCTGGGCCAGGTAGACGGCGTGGTGAGCTTCTGGGAGATTGCGCAGCCGCTGGTGGCGCGCCTGGCCGAGACGCTGGGCCTGCCGGGTAACCTGCCCGACAGCGTGGACGCGGCGCGCGAGAAGCAGCGCACGCGTGCCGTCATGGCGGAGGTCGGTCTGCCCACGCCCAAGAACCTGCTCATCTCCGGCTTCGAAGACCTGCGAAAGGCCGCGCAGCACGTCGGCTTCCCTGCGGTCATCAAACCCATCTCGGGTAAGCTGCCGGGCGTCTCTGGACCAAAGAGAGTCAGCATCAGGTCACCTGCTTTCAGGCTGTGTCGATCTCGACTCTGCAGACGTTTGAACGATGTATGTAGAACGGTGTACATACAATCCGCACATGGAGTCGCTGACCGGTCGGTGCTCCCGTTGCAGGCGCGGCTTCGTTGGGCGTGGTGCGGGTGGACAGCTACGAGGCCCTCGAAACGACGTACAAAAGGTGCGGCACGCGGTCCTCACACTCCTTCTGGAAAGAGTGATTGTCGGAAAGGTTTTCAAATCAAAACCGAACCTTGACCGAGCCGCCTCGCAATGCTTCCAAATCCGTCACCATTCTGGGGGTTGTTGTTCCGCGGTGTTCGACTTTCAAGGAGGGCGACTCAGGCAACCAGGACGGTTCCCCCGTTGCTGTCGGGAAGGGAAAGGAGAGGCCGCTGCCTGCTCCACAATGGCTCGCTTTTGAGTTGGCTTCGTTTCAATCAATAACCGAGCCGGTATGAGCGAATAGTCGAAACGGGGTGGATGCTACTTTTGCGTTGGTTGCTTCCGGAAGGTTCGGAAGCTGCAGATGGCCCTGGTTAGAAGTCAGTTGCCGCAGCCGTCTGCTCCAAACGCACTCCACGAGTCCATGGTTCGCTACCCGCTTGCTGGCAAGAACGAGTGTCTCACAAAAGAAGGACAGCTGTCATGACATCCATCATTGGAAAGTCGGATATTGTGCGCAGGGCCATGGCGGAGATGGGCGCCATTCGGCTGGACAAGGACGGCAACTTCGTGTCGGCCGACAGCGACCTCGCCGTCAAAGAGGTGCGCGCCGCACCGCTCGTGTCCTCGTGAGAGGGTGTCGAGAGTCGTTGAGTCGCCTCTCGACAGGCTCGGCAACGAACAAGTTTGGAGGTCTTGTTGAGAAACTGCTCATGTGTCGGCGCCAGACGCCGGTTGATGAGGACGGCGTTGCGTTTGACGGGCGCTTCCACCGTTGAGATCTGAAGCTGGCCATCATGAGCCGACGTACGATCTGAATCTGAACATCGACACTTCTGTGTTCTGATATTGTGTATTGCGCTCGCATAACCGGAAGTACCTACGGTCAAGCAAACGACACGACTCTTTTGAAGTCTCTCAATTCGAAGTGTGCGCCTGACGGCCGCGTGTGGGTGGTTCGTGCAGCAAACGGGCGCGGCGGGCACTGCGTACGTGGCCAACCTGTTTCTGATGGAGCAGTACCTGGACGGGCCCGAGGTGGACGTCGACGTGCTGCTCTCCAAGGGGGAACCCGTCTACGGCAGCATCACCGTAAGGCCCAATACGCCGCCGCTGCGTGCCGCTTGCTCCATGAACCCTTTGGGGGATCTTTTGCTCTGTAGCTAGCCCCCGATATCTGCATGCTTGCACTCTGCTCTGGCCTTCGGTTTGATTGGATTGTCATGCTCAAAGAGCCAACGGCATCTGGGACTGTGACTGGAGTGGCTTTTTCCATATAAAAGCGGATTCAAATGGGACTTCACGAAATCTCCAGACGTCAAACGTACTGCTTACGCTGTCCATCGGATTGAGAATCGTCGAGCTTTGGTGCGCCAAGATGCGGTTGCTGTCTCTTGAGGCCTCTACGGGTCCGCGCAACCAACTCTGTACAAGGAAGCAGAACAAATTGTGCCTGAATACAGAGGAGCTGTGACAGGAGATTGGCCGTATCCAACACGAAGTACGAGAAGCAGGAGCACGCAGCAAGCAGGCATGCGCAGTCACCCGCGGTGTGTTTTTGCAGGACAATTGGCCGACGATCGAGCCGTACTTCAACGAGACGGGGTCCAACTGCCCGTCCATTCTGCCCCTGGACCAGCAGAAGCAGCTCTGCCAGCTGGCAGTGCAGGCGGTGAAGGCGCTCGGGTTCACCATGGGGGCCTTCCACGTGGAGGGCAAGTACACCTCGCACGGGCCGCACATCATCGAGGTGACGCCCGCGCCCGCGGCCGCTTGTTGTCTCGAATAGCAAAGTTCCACTCGTTCCGTCAGCTGGGCGTCTTAATAACAGAAAAGGACCGCTCTTTCCGTCACTCTGGCACCCCCAGAATCAGAACTCCAGATCCAGTCCGCAGTTGTGAACTTCTCCTGGGTCAGTCAGACGGTTCGTGCTTCGAAGCAAGGCGGATTTCAAGTGCCACGCCGACGCAAAAAGTGCAGTTGTTTCCAGACAATTACGACAGGTTTTGAGAGCTTGCATACAGCCACGGCCACTGAGTATCTTTGAGAAGCTTCGAAAACAACTTTCAAAGACTGGGCAAGCGGAGCTGCAAGCCATGCAAAGTCGCGCTGCGTTACCGAGGGTCTTGCATCCGGAAGCGTTCAGTCTTGGTGCAGAGCCTTGTGTGAAGCCATGGACGTGGCTGCAGTTTGCGAATTTGCGCCAGGTGTTGCGGGGGGGCGGCCAAGATTTCGCCTTTGGCGTCACCGCAATTGGCACTGCAGAAATGGGCCGCACTAGCCGCAACGGATGGTTGCATGTCACAAACCGGCGGACAGCAACAGCTTCCAAGCCAAATCGAGGTCAAGAGAAGACAAAGTTTGGCAGGAGGATAGAGGAACAACAAGTGCGTCAACAGCTTTGGGCGCAGACTGCCAGCCCAGCTGCGGTCCCAGTCTTGTCATGACGCCGGCGTGCTGCTTGCGGTGCAGGTGAACGCGCGCATGGGCGGCGGCCCCGTGCGCGACATCAACAAGATCGTGTACGGCGTGGACCTGATCGAGGAGCACCTGCTGACGGCGGCGGGCATCCCCACCAAGCCGCTCGTGGCGGCGCGGCCGCTCAAGCACATTGCGGAGTACTCGGTAAACGCCAAGCAGACCGGCGTGCTACTCACCAAGGACTACCTCCAGGTGAGCGCCGCTGCGGACACGGGCGGGCGGGAAACGGGGGAGGGCCGAACGATGGGAACTCGACCGGCGTGCCAACGTTGGAAGCTAGGACTGCTTTTGGCACTCCTCTTACCAATGTATTGTCAGTAATTTTGCTGCAACGGATTGGTGAAGCTTTCTCAAGTTTTGCTGGTGGGTGGAGCGAAGCGAACCGCTTGGAAATCCACAGTGGCCATTCTGCAAGTACACGTACATCTGACGACACTCGTGTTTAGCTGCACTGGCCACTTGTGGTTCGGAGACGAGCGGCATCAAGAAGTACGGTCCTGATCCGCTTGGTTCTTGTCAGCCCGTTTTTAGTGTCACCTAAAAAGAGGCTAAAACCAACAATCGGAGGCGTTGGTCCGCAGCCTCGAAATGCGACCCCAGTTTGTAAACCACTGAGCGGAGCTGGGCCGCACTGGTGCAGGACTGGGTTGATCACCCGGACGTGTTGTACATTAGGGCGCTGGTGGACGAGGGCCAACGGGTGGTGTGCGCGGAGGACGGCATGCCCACGTGGATGTACGAGATGATGATAACCAAGCCCACCGTGGAGGAGGCCATCGAGTTCATCAAGGGCATCGAGGAGGCCGTGCACATCCCCATTGCTAAAGTCGCAGCGCTCAAGTAGAAGCCACACTGCCGGGTTGGACTGCGGCCGACAGCTTGCATTGCCAGCGAGCTGCGCGCTTGTGTCTCATTGGTATTTTGCGCGTGCTTCATCTAGGGACTAAATAATCGTCAAGCCAGTTTTAACTAATCCGGAACGGTTTGCACAAAGCTAGCCGCACGCTTGTGGACTAGCCGCCATGTTAATGGGTTTTTAATTAAGTATTCAGCTTATGGCTGGCGGAGCTTTTCATTGCATGCGTCTCTCAGTCCAATGTCCGTCTCAACAAGCCATGTGCGTGTTAGATCTCGTTTGACCGTCACAAGACCAAACGTCAAGAATCTAGCTGGAAACTCTTGACGGCGCAAGTGGACGAATATATCCCGCTTCGATGGGTCCATTGCTACGAGCTGAGGTTATTGATATCTAGACGCATGTGGACACCCGGCTGTCAATTGCATGGGCTCATTCGATGCAAAAGTCGGTCACACTTCTTACTCATTCAATTCTCTTTCGATCTATAGGATTGAAGAGCTATAGCCAAAGCCGCACTCCATCCTTTCAAAATCGCCGGCCGGTAAGCCACGAATCCTCATGCATTTGTCAAACGGGTCGCGGCGGCGTTGATCGTGGGGGAGCTCTCCACCAGAACCTGCTTAGTCAAGCGGGGGGTGCGGAACGGTGCTAGCATGGCCAAATCCTACAAATAAGCAAAGACGTCTTGAAAAAATTTCTACATCCAGCCAAAGTAGAAATTTGAGCTCTGCGCAACGTCCGGCAATGTGGCTATTATTGGCCCGGGGGGCCAGGACCCTCTTGCCGAAGCCCGCGTGGGACCCGCGTGGGAGTTCGACCAGATATTAAATCCCCCATGCAGGGATCCCCGTATCACGGTTCAATGACTCATCATATAGAAGCTTCTAAATAACAGGTTGTATGGCCCAAGTATGCAAGTACGTATACGCTCATGCCATGAGCACAGATTGTGAACAAGGCAGCATTAATGTATTGGATGGTACTCGAACATGCCGCCGCACGTTTCCCGCACGTTTCTTCCGAATTCATGAGTTCTGGAGAGCCTCTGAACCATCCGATAAGTGCCGAAGGCACTCGGAAGTAACAAGCTAGAAATAAGACCAATTCAAATTTGCACGGCAGATGTTGGATCGACGGATCGGAAGCCAGCTAGAGAAGCAGAAATGATAGAGCATCCGGCGGCTCAAATGCCTCGGTCGCTCACCGGTCGCCTATGCAACAAATCTTGCACAGTCGCCCATGTAGATCTGTCGGATGTCCAACGGATGTCCAACAGCTGTCCAATCATTACCTACAACACCGATACCTGAATACTGTAGTCTAGTATGGTCACTTCTCTAAATACACGCTTAGGCACCTGGGCCCATGGCGCAGAAACAAGCAATTTCGGGGTTCGGGCTTCATCAAAAAACGTTTCTTTTCTAGTTTAGTACCGAGCAATTACCTACTAACAACAAAGCAGCATGTTTTAGCACAAGGGTATGGCTAGTACCGTAGTCCAACGTGATGATTCCGAACGATTTTATTTTGAATTATTTTCCAACAATCCGACCAGGAATGCGGAATTATTTATGCAGATTCCGACATCAATCCGAATGCCCTATGTTCCCAGTAAGAAGGGGATTTTGAGGCTGATTTTGGCCGTTTTGGGGCTTCCGAGGACAATTCTAGATTTACTTAATCTTTCCGAATTTCCACTTTCCGAATGAGAAATCCGAATTTCTGACTTTCCGAATGCAAATAATTATTTATTTATTCGAAATCATTACCTTGGACTACGGTAGCTACTGAGCCATTGCTACCCTATCGCAGTCTAGGAACTACGGTAGGTACTTCTGTATTTCTCAGTGGTCACAAGCCCAGTACACTCTGCACTGCACAAGGATTCCTGGTACGGTGGTACCATACGGTATCTACCCAGTCTCACTGTCTCCCAGCGTTACCCACGCAGCTCTACTGGTATTAAACTGCTCGAGTAAGGTGACCCGTAGAGATACTCGTCCAGTTAAGAAACACCTGACAGGGATGGAGCATCTGACGCTTTCACATTTAGATGACCCGCGGAACTAAGTATTTCGACCCTTCTCGACTTGCTTCGCTGTCGAAAACGAGGTAATCTGCATCGAAAGACTACAAACCTGGTTTAGATTACAAAGTACTGTTACCTGAACACGGTAGATCGCGGATCCCGAGATCCTTGAGTGTGTGGGAACCATGTACCTAAAGGACACGCAGTTCAGGCTCCGACATGTACCCAGAACATCCCGCCGTGTACCTACGGTCTGTACTACCTACCTATACACCTCCCTACTCGGTAGGTACCAGGTCCTACAACCTGCACAACTTTGAGATTAGGCAGGTAGACCGCCGGGTCCGGAACAAGGCCCAAAAGTGCTTTGGAACCGTTCAATAGGGGCAGGCACTTCCCCAACGAGACATAGAGGCCGTTCGATCGACAGGCCTTCAGGCTTCCTCACTTCTGACACCAAGTTTTTTACCGGTTCCACTTTTCTCAGTCAAGACTGCGCCCTCGAGTGAAATTTCAGCCAATGCGAAGCGTCCGTCACGCATGCTCTGCTGTTCTCAAAATCGGGCGATCTGCCTGTAGGTACCTAGGGCTGCCTCCACACTGCCGGATACTTGGGTCGTCGGCTACTCCGAGTACCCCCCTCTGGAGTATCCCGGGCAAGTAGCCCGTCCAGACTGCGGGATACTCAGCCCGGCTACTTTGTGTTCCGCGATGATCGGAAGCTACTTCGCCTTCTCACGTGTAAACGAGTAGCCCGGCAAGTATCCTTCAAAAAGTAGGCTACTCGGCCGGCTACTCGGCGGTTGGCCAATCAGATTTCAGCATAACGGTCCAGTTGTTGAACCGGACGCGTGCGAACACCGACAGTCTGGTTTCTTGAATGATTGCGCGAATCTTTGTGTCAACGTGGCACGCTGACAGCGACCGGCGGAAGTAGCCGATGTCCGAAGTAGCCCCCGGTGTGGAAGCGGCTACTTCAGCTCCCGCATTCTGCGGAAGAGCTCCCGGTTCCTCGGAGAAACTTGAGAAGTAGCCGGGTACTCCAGTATCCCCAAGTATCCCCCAGTGTGGAGGCAGCCTAGGTACCCAGGTAGGTGAGCCGGTCGAGGTCATGATTTCATCTGATTTCGGCATTTGCATGAAGCAGGATTTCTGAAGGTACCTATGTCCACCGGTCTCGACCTCCGGTTCTGGACGCCTCAGGTTCAAGGGGTATTTCAGGCTATTGGATCGTCGGTAATACCTCCTCGGTAACAGCCAGGCCAACGCTCGACTTTTGACCAGTAGGAAACTCTGAACTCATCGATTTACCACGTGGTCAAGAAAACCGACCGGTACCAATGTAGTACCGGATGCATGCATGGTGAACAGGGTTTCCCACAGCCGGCAGCTACACTTGGACCTGGCCGGCCGAGAAGAGACCCCGGCCGGTGCCGAAGGCACCCTGCCGGCTGGTCAGCCGGCAGAAAATGCAGGCGCTTAGTGGGCTCAGCCGGCCGGTAAACCAAATGCTGGCTACCGAGCCGGCAGAACCGGGGGCGCGCCGGCAGCTGGCCGGCCGGGACAAAAGTCCGTGGGAAACCCTGATGGTGAACCGTGCCAACTACGGTATACCGTCGTACGGTATTAGGTACATCCCAAGGAACCGGACCCCAAGTACCTAGTACGTACCGGATGGAAAAGCGACCACTAGCCTGTACAATCGGACGGTTTTCGCCGTCGCCGATCATCAAGGTACGGTCCACAGTAACGATGGACCTGTGCCTCTAGGCCTTGAACTTTGAAGTTTGGTCCCTTGCAAACCTGAGCAGCCACCAGCTCGAGTCGACATTCGAGACTGGGAGACTGAAGTCTGTACTAGGTCTGTACCTAGTATGTACCCTACCCAGCAGATACCGTACTACGGTACCTACCCAGGTGTAAGCTCTGTGCTCGGGCCTTTCGTGTGAAACGTGAAGGAGTCAGGACTCGGAACTCCGAGTCAGGAGGGGATAGTATCAATCCAGGCCGGCCTGGATCCAGGCCCGCAATCTCCGGATGGTCCAGGCCGTCGATAACACGGTCCTACCAAGTTCCGACAGCCTCAGGCTAAAAGTCTCATCCACACAACCGTGCCACGGTTCCCGGGACTGGCTATGTGTGCCCAGTGGAGGCTGTACTACCGGAACTACTGATTTCTCTAGTAAGTGTAACTGTGACTCGTAACCTATACCTGTAACAGTCACTGTTAAAGTCTAACTGTTTACCGTAGTCCAA